ATCGGAAGTTCATACGCAACTTTTCTTCCTTGGTTAAACCTCTCACGGACATGACCAGGAGAGATGCTGATCCACAGCATTGGTCACAGGAGGCCATTACTGCCTTTGAGTCTCTCAAAGTCGCCTTTGCTGCTGCTCCTATACTGGCACACCCTAACCCTGCCTTACCATTCATTCTGGAAGTCGATGCGTCTGAGACAGGAGTAGGCGCCCTCCTGTCTCAACGTCCTAACCCTGAGAGCTCCAGGCATCCGTGCGGGTATTTCTCGAGGAAATTGAACCCGGCGGAATGCAATTACCAGATTGGTGATAGAGAACTTCTAGCCATAATTTTAGCTCTCAAAGAATGGAGGCACCTTCTTGAAGGTACTTCAGTGCCAATCCTCATCCTCACAGACCACAAGAATCTTACATATCTTTCCGAGGCTAAGCGGCTTTCCCCCCGGCAAGCTAGATGGGCTCTTTTCCTATCAAGATTCAACTATGTGGTTTCTTACTTGCCGGTACTAAAAACATTCGGGCTGATGCCTTGTCTCGACAGTTCTCCCCTCCATCCAGAGAGGAGATAACCCCTACTCCTGTGATTCCTCCGGACCATATACTGGCAACCATCCGCACTAGCCTCACATCACCCCTAGGCGAGGAGATTCTGGCTGCACAAATTAATGCTCCTCCAGAGAAACCTAATGGCCATTGTTTTGTACCGATTAACCTCCGTACTAAACTATTAAGTACATACCACGACTCCAAAGCAGCTGGACATCCAGGCAAAAACCAGTTAATTTGGTCCGTCTCCCGGCAATTTTGGTGGCCTAGTCTCCGTTCGGATGTCACCGCTTTTGTAGCTGCCTGTCCTGTGTGCGCTCAAAATAAAACCCCACGACGCCCTCCAGTGGGTCTCCTGCAAACAATACCTAATGGTGAACGACCCTGGACCCACTTGTCCATGGATTTTATCGTTGATCTTCCGGTCTCCCATGGCAATACAGTCGTTCTCATGGTTGTTGACCGATTCTCGAAGATGTCACATTGCATTCCCTTGAAAAAACTACCTACTTCCCAGGAACTTGCAACAATTTTTGCTCGGGAGGTCTTTCGTTTGCATGGGTTACCTAAAGTGATAGTCTCAGATAGGGGTAGCCAGTTCGTGTCCAGATTTTGGAGAGCCTTTTGTACACAAATGGGAATTCAGCTTTCCTTCTCCTCGGCCTACCACCCGCAATCCAATGGTGCAGCAGAACGAGCTAACCAAACACTGGAACAGTTTCTGCGTTGCTACATTTCTGACCACCAGAACAACTGGTCTGATCTGCTACCCTGGGCGGAGTTTGCCCACAATAGTGCGATTAATGCCTCTTCCCGGCTATCCCCATTCTTGGCGAACTATGGGTTTCAACCGTCCATGTTGCCTGATACGTTTTTGCCACAGGGGATACCGGCATTGGAGGAACATCTCAGGGAACTCCGTTCCACTTGGGTGCAGGTTCAGAACTCTTTGCAACGCGCAATGCAGAAATACAAACTCCAGGCCGACCGCAGACGCCTTCCTGCTCCTACCTATCAGGTCGGAGAGAGGGTCTGGCTGTCTTCTCGCAACCTACGCCTCCGTGTTCCCTCACAAAAACTGGCACCCCGATACGTTGGGCCATTTCGTATTCTTCGAAGGGTTAACCCTGTAGCTTACGCACTTGACCTCCCTGCTAACATGCGCATCTCAAATGTTTTCCATGTTTCCCTCTTGAAACCGTTGGTTTGTAATCGCTACACCACCTCAGTGCCACGTCCACGTCCTGTTCTGGTTGACAATCATGAGGAATATGAAATACGCAGCATCATTGACTCACGAGTCTTCAGAGGACAGATCCAATACTTGGTGCACTGGAAAGGATACGGTCCAGAGGAACGCTCCTGGGTTCCAGCCTCTGATGTCCATGCACCATCCCTCCTTCGTTCCTTTCACGCCCGCTTCCCCATGAAGCCCGGACCCACCAGCAGAGATGGGGGGAGTCGTTGAGGGGGAGGTACTGTCAGGGTTTCTTTGCTGTTTTAAACAGCAACCCTTTCTGTGTCAGTGAAAGAGTTTTCAGCTGCAATTACTATCAGCTCCTTCAGCATGTTGCCACGGTTACTCACCTGAGAGTAGTAATCAACCCTGCTGCTAATCAGTGCTGCCTATTTAAGCAGCAAATCCCAGAACCTCCTTGCCCTTGCGTGGTTTCCTGTTCCCCAGAAGTCTCCTTGTTCCTGTGTTTCCTGTTTGCTCCTGGTTCCTGACTCCGGCCTTGTTCCTGACTCCGCTGCTCTCCGTGCTCCTGATCCTGGCTTGTCTGACTACCCGCTCTGGTGACTGACCCCTGCTTGATTCCTGGACTTTGCTTTTGTTATTTATTTGTTATTTATTAATAAAGGTGTGTTTGCATCTAGTTCTGTCTCTGTCTGGTTCCTGGTCCCTGACAGTATCTTTGTGATACGTTTAGCTTCAGTGCGTTTTTTAAGTCTGCAGGCAAGCATGGTGTCCGCTTTGTTGCCCTTTTCATAATATTTTTGTTTGAGCCACATCAGAGCTTTGGCTGTATCTGCTTGTGTGAGGGTGTTAAGGAGGTTTCTGGTCGCCGTAAGTTTGGACAGGGTGGTCGGGTTAGGGTTCTTTTTGTGTTCGGTTAGGTGTGCGTCGGGGGTTGGTGACCGTCCGGTCAGGGCCGTCCAAAGGCAGTTTTCAGTAGTCGTCCGCGGTACCGTGTGTACTGTGGTCAGTCATCGTTTCGGTTAGCCCTCTACGTGTCGTGACGTGTGGTTGCAGGGTCGTACCTTGTGAACCCGTGGGGTGTTGATCAGGTTGTTGGTGGGTCTAATTTTGGTTCGGTGGCGAGGGTGTTCTGTCACTGTCCAGTCTTAAGGTGTCGGCGTGGTGCCGTCTGCTGTAAGTGGCGTCCGTCAGCATGCGAGGTGGGGTGGGGTGTGTCGGTTAGCTGAAAAGCAATGAGTAACAGTTTTACATTGTAACACAACAGTTTAACATCAACTTCAATCTAGTTCCTCCACCTTAGTGCCTAGAGGTTCTCGTTTTTCGTGTCTCCCCCTGTGGTGTCTCTCTGTGGGGATTCTTAGAGGGTCCCTGGGCTGGGAGTCTGAGGGAATGGGGGGGCTGATTTGTAACTATACTTTCACGGCCCCTCGGTTACCCGTTGACTTATCCTTGTAGTTCGTGTAGGTTAGTGTGTATCCCTCCCTGTACTGGTCCGCTAATCTCCTTTGTGGTGTCCCGGTTTGCATTGTTCCGTAGGGGTTGTATGAGCTCAGGGTGTGCCTGTCTAAATCCTTCCATTTCCCAGGGTGTATCGTTTGCACTTAGCCTCTCTAGTGCTATTGGTGTTGTCACCTATCTTCTATGTGAAGGGTGTGCCCGCGTCCCCTGGGTCCCAGTGTGTCTAGTGCAGGAGCAGAGTATGGTCCCCGACACCGCTTTGTTGGGTCTCATGGGAAGGTGTTTGCGCTCAAGGGGGCCAACGGTAGTTTGAGTTGTACTCCTGAATGGTGTCTGACATTGGGCGCGTGCCATGGCCCTTGTTGGGGGGCCGGGGGGGTGCACCAACCAACCCTCCCCACCCAAGGTGTTCCCCTCTGTGGGTGTCTGCACTATTTGGTGCTTAGTCGTGTCGTTGGTGTAGTGGGCCTATTGTTTTCCCCTGCCTGTTCGTTCTATGGTTTGCGGGTGTGTCTTGTGTCGCCTAGGCTGCATGGAGCAATTGGGGTGTACTTATATGCACTCTATTAGTCGGCCGTATCTCTAGGTGCCATCCTGCCGCCCCCCCCTCTATGGTCCGTCCAGCCCATGGTCCCGTGTAAGGCCAATTGATTCAGGGGCAGTGGCTGGTGCCATAGGCGTTAGTCCCTGGTGCCCAAGGGGGGCCGTTACTGATATGGCCTGGGCCCGGCCTTGTGTTGTGTGCTGTGGTGGCTAGAATACCTGTGCGGTAGGTGGGTGTGGGGCAGCCATTTCATTTTGCTCTATAGGTAGCATTGGTCTGTACATGCATAAACTGGTACAGAGAAGGTTACTAATGCGTGCCGCCTGCATTCTTGAGTCTATAATTTCTATCTATCAAGTGATTCATATCGTCTAAACAGCGAACAGAAAACATAACTGACACTCTTGCTTTATATGTTATATCTTATCTGGAGCTTGGGGTTATCAGCGGTTTAAGCTGTTTCGAGTCCAGTATTGGGGTGTGGAGAGGCCGGGGTCAGTTCGGACCATGTGTCCGGGTGCGCTTTCAGCTATAGTGACCACAGTCCTCTTGTGAATAGTCCGTATTGTTTCTTATTTCTTGTGTTGGTCATCTGTTGGTGCGTTGAGTGGTGAGTGGTCGTTGGTCTGTTTAGTTGTCGGCCCTAGGGCGTGGGCTGTTCGGTATCTGGTGTGTCGGGGCTGGAGGTAGTACATTTCTGGGCGGAGGGCCTCTGTCGTGTCTTCTGGGATTCGGGTCCATGGTGAGAGTTGTGGGATCCAGGCCAAGGCTCTCTGCGAAGTCTGCCATTTCCGCGGTGTTGTATAGGGTGTAGGTGCAGTTATTCTTCCGGACCTGCAGCTTAAATGGGTGCCCCCATGAGTAGCGGATATGTTGCCTTGTGAGCTCCTGAGTGAGGGGCCGCAGCTCCCTCCTTTTTCGTAGGGTGCTCGGGGCCAGGTCCTGGTAGAAGGAGATTTGGTGACCTTCGATTTGCAATGGGGTGTTTCGTGCCGCTTGCATGAGTGCCTCCTTAATATAGAAGTAGTGCACTCTTATGATGACATCCCTGGGTTGGGTTGCATTGGGCAGGGGTACTCGGAGGGCCCTGTGCGCTCTATCCAGTAGGAGTTCCACCGGTGAGGCCTCTGGGAGCAGGCCGCAAAAGAGCTCTCGTAGAGTTGGGCCCAGTGCATTCATTGTGATCGTTTCTGGTACTCCGTGTATCCTTATGTTATTTCGGCGGGACCGATTATTCAGGTCCTCTTGTGCCTCCTCCAGTTGGCGGAGCTGATCTTGTAGGGAGGTTATGGCATTTTCGTTCGCTGTTGTGCGCATAGCTGTCCGGTCCAGTTGCTCTATGTGTTAAGTCAATCAGGTCTTCTTTGATGGGTGTGAGATGCCTGTCAAATTCTGTTGTCATATTTGCCTTGATCTCACATAGCAGCTGTCGGAGGTCCTCTTTTGTAAGGGGGGTGGTCGTCGTTGCTCTGCTCGTGTCGCTGGCTGCGGAGTCAGAGTCATATTCACGGCCTTCTTCCTCCCGCGTGGTGCCACCATCTTTGCGGCTCTGGAATATCGGAGCTACTTCTGCGCCCTGCTTTGATTTCCGCCCGCCACCCATTACTGCTCAGTTGAGTACCTTGGGTGGTAGAAGGGGTGGTCGGGTGGGTGTGAGGGAGTCGGTTGCGGGTGCTGATGATAGCCGTCTTTGCCTTCGTGGACGGAGCTCTCCTAGAAAGCCGCCATTCGCGACGGAAGTCAGGCGCCGCCCCGGCCTCTTAATTTTTACCCCGCATAGCCCATATTCCATATGCACCCATGCAGATTTTGCACAGGTCAGTGGCCCGTTACAACTACCGTCACCCAATATGAAATGGCCAGATTCTTTAGATTTTTAACAGACATTGCCAGAAGGGCTGGTGAAGGTTGCACCATGAAGGCACTGGTGAGCCAGACCAGTTAGGACTCAACATTGATTGAATAATTGGGGTGAGTCAGGAAGAATCAGTGGGAGTGGTAGGTGACTCACATCATGCTATAATACTGAAAACAATGCCCAGTTGAGAGGTTATAGAAGGAGTTATGCAATATGTGAGCTTCTATCTCCTTGGGACCGTACGCGGATATGCCACCTGTGAAGGGAATGGAGGACAAGGCTCTTAATGGGAGATCACAGACTCTGGGAGCCACCTGCAAATTCCCCCAGCCCTAACATAAATGATGCATGGAAATAATTGGCATTATGAGAGGGGAATAAGAAGCCATCAAAACCATGCAAGGATGGTTTCACAATGAGTCTCTACTTGATCTTCTGAGGCCCCCGATGAGGTGGTGAGGATGGAGAACTCTGGGTGTTAGTGATAAATGGGACTGCAGATGGCTGACCTGTGAGGAAATGGGGATCCCCTGCTTTGGTCGCATGGAGTGCTGGGCTTACATTGTGGATTAAAAAAACAAAAACTAGCATGGTAATGTCCAATCTCTGTACTTCAAGCTAATATTGTCTTCCTCCTTTCCTGTTTAATAAGGAGTCATAGCCAAGAAACACTATTGTGAACTCTAATGCATAGCACCGGTTTGTGGGAGTGTAGTGTGGAGGCTGTTGTGTCAGTGTTTTTGGAGATCCCTGCCACCGGGTCCTCAATGGCCCGGTGACTGCCTGTTCCTGGGTGTGTTTGTTGATCACACTGCCTTCCATAATTACCTGTCTTGCTACCAACCCGCCATAAGGCGGGGTGCTAATAATGAGTGGCTGACAGGTCACAGGCAGTCTAGGGTAGAGGGGAGTATGCTGAGACTAGTCAATGAAACCATGCTCACCGGTGTGTGAATATCTGCCCATAGGTGATATCCAGAGGGAGCCATCACAGTCCTGTTATCAGGAGTGGTGCTCCTGATTTAAGGCCTGTTATATCAGAGACTAATTGTTTAACAAGTATGTAAATGTTTGTATACAACCAAGAAAAAAAATGTCTTCGCCAGTGGCGTACACATGACCCATGGGGCCCCGGTGCGAAAATTGATCCGTGGGCCCTCCCCGCGTGCGGGTCGGGCCGCAACACATGGCGGTGGGCACCTGGTCACAGGGGTTACAGGGCTGCGACCCCTGCGACCGCGGTATGTACGCCAGTGCATGCAGATGCACACACACTTAAAGGACCACTACAGACACCCAGATCACTTTAGCTCAATGAAGTTGTCTGGGTGTCAGGTCCCTCTAGTTTTAACCCTGCAGCTGAAAACATAGCAGTTTCAGAGAAACTGCTATGTTTCACTGAGGGTTAATCCAGCCTCTAGTGGCTGTCTCACTGACAGCCGCTAGAGGAGCACACTGAACGTCCATAGGAAAGCATTGAGTAATGCTTTCCTAAGGGCGGTTTGAATGCGTGCACGGTTGCATTTGGAGCTGAGAGGCTGAGGGATCCCCAGCGCCAAGGGAGTCCGGCGCTGGAGAAAGGTAAGTGCTGAATACACACACACACACTTACAGACGCATACACACTAGCTAACAGACACACACATTTACTGACAGAGACACACTCAGCGACAGACATACATACACACTCACAAAACATACACTCTCATTGACAAACACGCACTCACTAACAGACATCAAACAGACTCACTAACACACACACTCAGTAAGACACACACAGTAACACACACACTAACACACTAACACTCACTCTAACACACTAACACTCACTCTAACACACTAACACTCACAATAACACTCACTAACGCTCACTCACACTCACTGTAACACACACTCACACTCTAACACACACTCTAACACACACTCTAACACACACACTCTAACACACACTCTAACACTCACTCTAACACTCACTCTAACACATGTTTTTTTTTAAATGTAATCCCCCCAGCCTCCTTACCTTTCGGAGTGTTGGGGGAATTCCCTGGGGTCCAGTGGTGATGCTGGGCTCCTGGGCGGGTGGCCGGTCGGGCAGGCGAGCGCGCGAGGGAGCACTCAGCGGTTCCTCTTCAGCTCCCTCGCGCGCCGCGTAGGGATGTCGGCGCTGGAAGATGACGTCATCTTCCGGCTCCGGTATCAGTGCTGTGCGCGAGGGAGCTGAAGAGGAAGCACTGAGTGCTCCCTCGCGCGCCCGCCTGCCCGACCGGCCTCGGGGGGCCCTGGGGTGGTCGGCTCCTGGGCCCCCCAGGAGAAGAGGCTGGCCCTGTGGGCCGCGACCCCTGCGACCCTGGTGTGTACGCCACTGGTCTTCGCTATGTATGCGTTTAACATGAAAAATTCTATAAAATACAATTTACAAAAAAATAATGGCCTTGTTTGCAAAGCAATAACACCTTAAAATGTATTTATTGTTATAGTGTTCTGCAATTATTTTGATTTACAATTCTGCCATTTGTGATAAATGCTGTTTTTCCTAAATGTGTTGTAATAATCCATTACATTTCCTGTATGTCTCTTTCTTTAGCAGAATAAATCCAGATGTAGTAATACAAGGAATGGTACATGAACTCTCGAGATTAAATCCTAATTATACTGAATGTATGACCTTCAGTTCTTGGGAGGGAACTATGTGCTGTTTCCTTTAATGTGAGCTAGGGACATCCTGACAATCACTGTATGGCACTCAACATCAATTTCCCTATAGTACTGGAATTCACCACTATTAAATCAGAGATGTAAAAAAATGCCAGTGTTATCCAACTAAGGCTTTAGTGACAACTCTGTATATTGGAAGCATGAAATGTGATATTTGACCGACACTGAGCTTCACTGTAACTGCTATTTGCAGGTGACACCAGTTAAATTCGGTCAAATTAATTAAAATTACTCATTATGATATTGTGGAAGGTGACCTGAGGAGATTGAAGCAGTGCAGTTCTGTCTCTCCAGGTTTTTTAGAGAGGGACTTAAGCTGCTGCCCAGTAGTGGAATTCCCACCAATCTTGGACATGTATGGTTAGTAAACCCTAAATCTAGTTATAATCATAGCTTTAACCCTAGCTAAATTCTAACCCTCACAGTGACCAAAAACCTAACCCCAGACGTAACCCTAGACATTGCATTAACTCTAGCCCGAACACCAAAAAAATGCATGTAATATAAAAAAATACATCATGGTGAAGGGAGCATTAAGGAGAAACTATTACAGCTCAGGAAAATATTCAACCTTTAGTGTACTTTTTCCCCATTTATCTCAAAATATTGAAGATGATGACTGTAGTGTAAGTCAACATTTGTGGACCCACAGTTCTACATCCCTAATTTGTACATTGAGAATTGAATAAAGAGGTGGGATATTTGCTATGTCGCCATTGTTTAAACATGTTTTTTGTCAAACGCATCTGATAGGATTTGGTGGGCAGAACCATAGCCTTCAGTGGTTGCCATTGTCCAGGCTGATCATCTGGTAAACTGAGCAAATTCCCATTGATCAACAGATCAGAAACCAAGGGCCAGCCGAGGAGAAGATTAAAGGGTCACTTTAACCAAAAACCAGTGTTTTTATAAAACTTTGGTTTAGTTAGAGTAAACCTTTCTGAGGTTCTCTTTCCCTCTCCAAACTTAAACATAAATCAGATAAATGCTAAAACTTCCTTCTATTCCATCATTGATTACAAGTTTTTCCCTCAGGTTGATCCCCCTTGGCTGACATCAAACCCCCACAATGGAGGGGGTGAGAGATCAGTGAGGACTGACTGAGGGGAAGACAGAGGTGGCATGGAGGGTGGCACGTGCCAATATTGGTTGTCTGGTACGGGCATATTCTGCAGTCGTAGGTGGTAGTATGATGTGTGAGCAGGAGATGGAGACATGGTGAAATGTCCAGTTCCCACTCTTTTTCTACTACATAGAACCAGTGCTTCACAAATGCACTGAAGAGGCCATGTAGAAAAAGGAAAGTAGATGCTTCAGAAGGAGAACACGTCACACTCAGGAATATTGCCATGTGTTATGCAGTACCAAAGGAGATGGGGAGACAGAATAGGGGAGTAGATGCAGAGAAAATGGCATGGGGATGAAGAGTGAATAGCATGGAAGGATGGAAAGGAGTATATGCACACACACACATACATTCACAACACATAAAAATGCTACAGTGCATATACAACATGCTTATACAGGGGATACTCAAAAAATTTGAATATCGTGCAAAACTTTATTTATTTCAGTAATACAACGTAAAAGGGGAAACTAATATATGAGATAGACGCATTACCTACAAAGCAAGATAGTTCAAGCCTGTCAGGGCTTACCTGAATGGGAGTCTGTAGCGCAGATATATGTGCTCACCCTTGCAAGTAAACACAGGCCAAGGTGGTAAGGTAAGAATTCACCTGGCCTGTGAGTCGGTGCACGGGGGCTGTGCAGGATGATGCTCCAAGTCAAGTGCAGATACAGACATAAACAGGAGAGTCGTCGTTGGTAAGCCAAAGGTCAGTGGGTGCCAGAAATCAGGATAAACCAGTAGAGAGCTGAGGTCAGAGGATGCCAGAAGTCAGGGTACACGAAATAACAAGCCATGGTCAGGAATCAACAGGAGAACACGAAACAGCAATACTAGAACCAGAGTC